AGATATGATGAAATATCGGGATAGGTTTGCCCACTTCCGGTAAATGATTGATGAACATTGTTCATTAAACTTGGAAGAAAGTATGAATTCATCATGTTAGCCGTATAAAATCCAAATTTCATCGGCACCGTATCCCTCTTATTTCTTTTGCGAAGCTCACTCTCATCAACAAAATAATCAAGAAAATCCTCGCCTCCTATTCTATCAAAGTATGACGCCATTCTAAAAATTGAAGCAGCTGGGCAATCTTCATGAGTGCAAATAGCTTCCCCCGCTCCCCCCTCTTCTACTATTTCTTCGGCATCTTCATAAACATTGAATGCCTCTACGTTGGCTGGATCCGCCGCCGCTTCTTCTACAAAACCTTCCGCTGCAATACTTTCCGCCGATCCTTCAGCTGATGTTGCTAAAACATCTTCTGCAGCACCAATTTCGGAAGCGATTTCGGAGGTGGTTGCCACGACCTCACTAAACATTGCTGCGCCGAGGTAATAACCAACCGTAGGAAGAGCAATTAGAGCAACGCCAACGGCTACAGAAATTAAAATAATTTTGAGCAAGGGTTTTTTAGGCGGTGGCGGCGGCGGTGGGATCAATTCTTTTAGATTTTCGGGAGTCATTTTAATACTTAGTTCTTCAAGAGCATCATGGAACCCTTGATGGTGACTATCCCAATAATTGAATAGCTTGTTTGCCGAATTAATCATGTGGTATGTAGCAACACCATATCCATCAGGACTGAACGAGCTGCCTGAACCGAACTGAAGGGATGCAGCGTATGTTCCAGCTTCATGACCAGTCAAATAATCGATACATTCAGCTATATGTTCTGTTTGATTAATTTGAAAACCGGGTGCATCTGGGTGTTTACCTTCACTGCAATACTTTGCAGTTAGATCAGTTGGAAATACATGATCTGGGTTCGGTATTTCTTTCTTATATGTAATTTTAGGGGTCGGAATGATTTTCATAGTGTAATTACTTAATTTACATTTGTAATTATTTTGGTCCTTTTCGGTATACGACGAAACCGAAATATTCGTTCTGTTTATTTTCATCATAAAGCTGAAGCTACAATCATTGGTGCATCCCCACATAGTGATGTTTAAAGTTGTTAATGGTGACTCATGCTTTATAGTTTGAACATTCCTGATCAAAAGGGACGTCGAATAAGTATTGCCATCATCGTCTATATGGAACGACGCATATTTAGAAGGTACGACTTGGTCGCACATATTATAATCGTGTTCTACAGTGATCCAATCAGCAATAACTGCCGATGAAAAATGTATAAGAATGTATAATAAACTTTTCTTCATGATTGAAATAATTTTTTTTCCTTGTCGAAAAATCAGGTACACCTTATATACTGTATATTACCCTCTGACAAACCATTTCGTTATCCTAATTATTATTTTTTTTCATTCAACATTTAAGAAATCATTTAATTTTACGATTTTCATAATCGGAATTGAACTTAAATAAGTTTTAGTCATAACTGCAGTCGATCTCGGAACAGTCGATCTCTCGTCTTGGAACATTTTACTTCATTTATTTATATATATTGTATATAATAATAATAATAATACATTTTTACATCAGAATTTTTTTTTATCATCTTACTCAATATATATTCAAATCCATTGTTAAAAGAAAATAAAATAAATGTAGAACATTATATTAACGTACAGTACATTTTTATTGTTATACAATTCTACTTAATAGAATCTCTCAGATGAGTTTGTAAAATTTAAAAAAGCCTTTACCTCAGCATCTCGAATTTATATTTTGTTATGGATACGAAAAAAAGGAAAGAAAATCCTCTACCTCATTAAAAATGTGGATTGATACAAGCGTTTAGGTAATATTTCCTTTTATTATACAAATTAATATTCCCATCCTAAAATCTTCACAAAAAAATTTAATTATAAAAATGTACGATAATATTGTGACTGAAATTGATTTTCGTCTGAAAGTTGTCGATCATTTGAAAATACAATATCGATATTATTTTCTTGATTCTGAATTTTAATTTAAATTTATAATTAGTTATTCGTAAATGATCGATTTATTGTAATGTTTTTTCTTCTTTTAAAATTATAACAACGTCTGACATTAACGAAAGTTTTAAAAATATAACGACGTAAAAAAGGAATAAAAAGAAACAACCTCCCTTAATTTAACGATTTTCATATTGGAATTTGTCTTTATATGGGTCATGTGCTTCCGGGAATATCACTTTTTTTGGAGAAATTCACTGATCTAACCCCTAAATTTAAGTTTATTTTTTCTATAATATGCAATTTGTCGATCAATGTTATAATAAATTATGATAAAGAAAGTAATTATCTTTATTCTATTGGAATATACTTTTTTAAAACAGTATGAAGATGTGAAAGGCTATTAATAATTTACAACAATTTTTTTCTTATGCTACTTGTACTTGTCAAAACAAAAAAGAAAATGCTTTGAAAAAATTGGATTTAAAGCTTTTCTTAAAAGATATTTAGAATTTTAAAGTTTGAAAAAAATATAGTTGTATTTGTTTTAATGGGCCAATTATTAATTTTTTCTAATAATGAATAAATAATTAATAGTCAAAAAAAATAGAAAATTTTTGATTATCACTTTAATTTTAAAATTTCTTTATGTAAAAATATTTTTCTTAAACTTAAAAAGTAATTAAAAATGATTTATTAATTGAAGAATTATTAGAATGAAAAATATAAAAATATAAAATCTTTCTAAAGTAGCATCATAAATTATAATTAATCAAAAATTATCAACTAAAATTTATAATTTTATTATTAATTATACAAATTTTTATGGATTTTTTTTATCAGACTATTATATACAAACTGATTCTTTAAAAGTTATTTTATTATCTATTAAAAAATTATGCTAGTATATATGAAGATTTTATTGTAATTAATAAAGGATTAGATAATTATATTTTAATTATATTATATAAAAATTCTATTTGACTTTGAAAAATCTCACATTATATATTAAATTCATGACATCTAATACAAATTTATATGATATATATGAAATATTAAAAAAATATTTAATAAATAAAAATATTAATAAAAGAAATGAAATGGTATTAGATTTGAAAAATTATCAAGATAAAGCAGAAAAGGAGTATTAATATTATAAAAATAATATTATAACTAGCAATATATCTAAAAAAAATAGCTCACATTTGTTATACTAGAATATAAAATATTTTATTACTTTTTTATTATAACAAGTTAGACAAATTTATTTTAAAATAACATTTGAAATATATATTTTCAGAGTATGTAATATAAAAAAAAGCAATAACTAAATTATTTAATTAGTAAAAATGAATTTTTAAATAGTTTTACAAAAAAAAGAAGCTAATACAATTAATAATCTTATATTAATATTTTAAACAAATTTATCAAAAAGAATAATATTTAAAAATAATATTATGTTAGTTCTTTTAAATTACTAGTAATTACCTGTAATATAAATTTTAGCAGAAATTTTTCTTTACGTGAAAGAATAAGAAAATGATAAAAGATAAAAAAATAAAAAAATAAATCTATTAATGTATTTTACTAAACAATTTATTTTTCAAAAATTTATTACAAAATAAGTTCTATTATTATTTTTCTTTCATTTCTCTCTTATAAAACTATTCCTATTTATATAAAATATATTTTAATAATAATAAGCTAAATAAAATAAATAAAATAATATAAATAAATAAATAATATAAATGAATTGAATAATTTAAATAAAAAAAATATTAAATAATAATTATATTAACATATTTGGAAAATAAGAAATGCAAATAATTTATCTATATAAAAATTCAAATTCTTTTACTATTACATAAAATTAATCTTATTCTTTAAATTTTATAGATCATTTTGTATATCTTTTTTAGGTATAATAATAACTTATGATAATTATATAGCTTAAAATAAAATCAACTTTTTTTTTATTTTTTTTATTTTAGTTAATAATAATAAGAATATATAAAGCTATTAAAGTTAATTTATAATTTCAGAATATTTAAAATTTTTACTAAATGAATATTTTAATAATATTAAAGTTCTTTTTTGAAAAAAACATGAGTTAATACAATATATGATATTAAAAAATAATAAAAAAATTTACTAAAAATAATTTTAATCATACTATTTACATATAAATAATTACATTATGATTTTGAATAATTTTTAAATCTTATTTTTAAAATTTATTTTGAATTTAAAAAAAGTATTAGCATTTTTAGTTTTAAAAGTAGTAAACTAAGAAAAATCTTTACTTAAAAAAAAGTAAGAGAAAAATTTCAAATATTTCAATATTTTAAAAAATAAATATTTTGATATTTGAGTTTTAATAACTTTATTTTATTTAAACTTTTATTATTAGTTTATCAAAAAATATTTGTATAAAAATATTTAAAATTTGTTAATAAATTATTCTAAGATATTATATATTCTAATTTTATAATTAAATAGGAATATTTTATTATAAAAAATAAAATTTTTATAATTTTATAAACTTTTCTAAAAATAATATTTAAATTTTTGATATTTTTTAATATATTTAAAAATCAATATTAAAAAATTATATAATAAAATCATTAGAAATTTTAGGATTAAATAATTTAAGAATATATATAAAATATAAAAAAATCATAAATTTTAAGCTGGTTAAAAATAAAATCAAAGTTATAATATATAATTATCAAGTAATTTATAAAAATATTATTAAAGAAAATGATAAAAATTTGAAATAAAATATAAGTATATATATATGATAAAATTACATAATAATCTAGATTATATTAATTTAAAGTTTGAATAACAAGTATATAAAATTTCAGATTAAACAGATAAAAATTAAAAAAATAAATTAAGATACTCAAAATATTCATGAATTTATTAATACTAAATATTAGTTAATAACTAGAAAATGAAAACCATTTTAAGTCTAAAGCGAAATTTAAACAAATTAATTAATTAAATATATAAAAAAATTTTTATAATTATTATTATTATTTTTTATAGTAAATTAGTTTTATTTTTGTTTATTTTTTTATTTTTTTTATTTACTGATCTTATCGTATATGCAGTGTGAAAATGAAAATATTTATAAGATTAAATTTTTCACTATTTCTAAAGTATAATGTCTTACGTTTCACTTTGAATAATTATAATGATTATTTTAATTATCTTCTTAATATCAATATTTTAATTTTAGATTGATTAATTTTTTTTAGTGATAAAAGTTTCAGTTAAAATCAATTAATAATTTATTATACTTGTTTAACTAAAAAATTAAAATTTTATATAATTGAATATATCTAGTTTATATTTATCAAAATAATTTTAACAGAAAGTTCTAAAGATAAATTTTACTAGTTTATAACCTAAGATTGTTTATTTAAACTCATTTTGGATTTGATTAAATGATTATATTTTAGTTTTATTAATATTTTATTAAGATTTTAATATAATTTACATTTTTATAAGATTTAATATAACTTTATCTTTTTTCAATTTTTTAATAAGATTTTAATATAATTTTATTAAATTTACCTTTTACCATTTAGATAACTTGCAAAATCCTAGATTTCATTAGTAATCTTATCATTACTTATATGCTAAAAATTAATGACATATAATTAACTTTATTTAGAAATAATTTAATTTCAAATAATTTTTAATAATTATATTAACCAAAATTTCAGTTTTTGATTAGATCTATTTCTAAATATAATTTATAAATAGTGATATAATATTAGAAAAATATTAAAAATTTTATCTGATTTAATACTGTACTTTTATATTAAAAAAATTATCTAAAAATCAGGCATACAAATTTACTTAATTTAGTTAATAAAATTATTGATATATACACTTATTTATCTATTAAATTAAAGTATTTTAATAGTACAAATATTAAGAAATTTATATAATTTACTGTTAATATAGCAATCATATTAATCATTATAACTTTATCTATAAATTAAAATATTTATAATAAATATTACTTTACATAATTATTTGCTACTCTAGTTATTTTATAATTCATGATATATTTGACTGTAATCAATTAATATATTATAATTATTATATATTTAAAAATGTTAATTATATATTTTAAGTTTTAGATAATATTAATAAATTTATTATAGACTATAATTACTAATATTATAATTAGATAACAAAGATTACTAAATTATTAATTTATAATATTTAAATGTATTATAGAAAAATAACTCTTTAATTTAATTATTTTATTTAAAGATAACCATATCTGAAAATTAAATCAAATAATAATATAATAATATATCTTATTGGTATTACAAATATGAATAAATATATTTTATATCAAATGAATCTAATTGAAAATATTTAAAATATATTAATATAATGTAACAGTTAAAGTATAATTTTAGCAAATTGCATAAATAAATTAACTATCTGATATATTGAATATTTAGATGCTTATAATTCTTATAATTGTACCTTCTATTAGATAAAATATATTTTAT